CAAGCCTGTAATCTCAGCACTTTGGGAGGCCAAGGCAAGAGGATTGCCTGAGTCCAGGGGTTCAAGAACAGCCTGGGCACCTTGGCGAGACCTCATCTCTACAATAAATCAAAAAATCAGCTGGGCGTGGTGGCACGTGCCTGTGGCTCCAGCTACTTGGAAGGCTGAGGTGGAAGGATCGCCTGAGCCCAGCAGGTCGAGGCTGCGGAGGTCGTGAGGGTGTCACACTGCACTTGAGTCTGGGTGACAGAGTGAGACTCCAACTCAGAAAAAAAAAAAGGATAAAGTTTTACTGACTTTGTAAATTAATAAGTAAAACTGGAAGAGGGAATTCAGACCATTTCATCTCCCTGACTGTAAAACAAAAGCCCCGCCCCCATTCCAGCGCCCACACTCACTTGGTGGGCCCTGGTTGGGCTAGGGTCTTCCAGCGGGGCTTTGGGGGGCAGAGGCCAGGAGGTCTGCACTGGGGTTACACTCTGCATCTTCTTTTCTGGTGGGGTGACCACAGGGGTCAAAGTGGGGGGATGCTTCTTTTTCTCAAGGGTCTTTCCTGATTGAGAGAGAAGAGGAAAAGAAACAGGAACACGTGATTGGCTGCTCCTACATGCCGACTCAGCCAATGGCAAGGGAAGCTGGTCTGAGAGGTGAAGCCTTACTCTGATTGGCTGATTTGGAGATAGGAAGGCGGGACAGGTGACCTATGACTGCGCTGATTGGTCCAGTCAGGTCTTCGGTGGACCTCTTTCTAGGGACCCTCTCGGTTAACCTCGGTTGCACCCTTCCCCGGGCCCCTCACTCACCCCGAAAGCGGCACAGGCAGCAGACGCAGAGGAGGAGCAGCGTCGCCAGCAGCGCCAGGCCCAGCAGGGAGCCCAGGACGATGCCAGCGATGGCCCCAGGGCCCAGGGTGGGGCCTGGAAGAGACAGAGGGGTGGGGGAGCAGGAGCCGGTCTGGACCCAAGTTTCCCAAGCCCCTAACTCATCCCTAGCGCAGGGACTCAGGAGCCCAGAACCCCCCTGTCCCTCTCCTCTCATAGCCCAGGAATCTGGGACTTCCAGCCCTCTCAATTCATTTAACATGTACTGAGTGACTGTGGTGGTGGCCAACGCTAGGCCAGGTGGTGAGCCTCCATCGGTGGGCAAAACAGGCAAGGTGTCTACCCTAGTGGGGGTGAATCCAAGGAGGGATGTCTGAAATGAATGAGCAGCACATGGTATCATTACAGATTGTGCTAAGGAGGAACAGAGGCGCCAGGATGGCAAAAATGGGAGGGGATGGTTAGAAAAGGTGGCGAGTTAAGGTCCCAGAGGAAGTAACATTTGAGTGGAGACTTGAAGAATAAGGAACCAGGCGATGCTCAATATGAGGGAAGGGTGTTCTAAGTTGAGGGAACAGAAAATGCCCAGAGGTAGGATTGAGTCTTCTGTGTTCATTGAAGGACAGTGTGGGTGGAGGACATGGAAGGAGGGGGAGAGAGGTAGAAGATGAAGTAAGAGGCGTTTCACAGGCCAGACCCTAGCAGTTCTTGTTGAAATGAAGGGAAGGCAGCCTAGGCAACAGAGTGAGACCTTATCTCTACATAAATAAATAGATATCAAAAAAGTTAGCCAGGTGTGGTGGCCCGTGCCTTGTAGTCCCAGCCACTCTGTAGACTGAGGAGGAAGGATAGTCTGGACCCAGGAGGTCAAGTTTGCATGAGCTGTGATTGCACCACTGCCCTCTAGCCTGGGTGACAGAGTGATGCAACAACAACAACAACAAAAGACAAGAAATTAACGGAAGGCTTTTAAGTAGGGCAGTGTCATGATCTGATTTGCATCACTTTGGCTCAAACAGATCAGAGTTTAGAGACCAGAAAAATGGCTGCTGTACCCGGGCATGAGAGGATGCTGTGTTTGACTAGGGCCTTGGAGTGAAGACAAAAAGAAGCAAGTGGATTGGAAAAACATTTTAGAAGGAAAATTGACTGAACTTGCTGGCAATTGGGGTGTTGAGGGTGGCTTGATCATGTGGGTGGTGCCATTCACCAGGATGGGGAAACCTGGGGATTGGAGGATACAGTTTGGGGAGAAAACATCAAGAGGCCTGTTTTGGAGATGTGATGTTTGAGATGCCAGTCAGACATCCAAAGTGCGATATCAAGTAGGGAATTGTTTTTTTTTGTTTTGTTTTGTCAGAGCCTCACTATTGCCGAAGCTGGAGTGCAGGGGCATGTTCACAGCCACTGCAGCCTCAACCTGCTGGGCTCAGGCGATCCTTCTGCCTCAGCCTTCCAAGTAACTGGGACTACAGGCTCACCACCACGCCCAGCTAATTGTTTGAATTATTGTAGTGATGAGGTCTCACCATATTGCCTAGACTGGTCTCGATTTCCTGGGCTCAGGCAATCCTCTTACCTCCGCCTCCCAAAGTGCTGGGATTACAGGCATGAGCCACCACACCTGGCAGGAGAGTCATTCTTCAATAGAGAGGTCAAGGCTAGGGATAAGACATTTGGGAGTCATCTGAGTATTAATGCTATGGAAGGCCATGAAAGTGGACAGGATCACACGAGGGAGAAATACAGGTCTATGAACTGAGTCCTGAGACATTCCAATGGGGGATGCTAAACAATGAATTGTGTCCCCCCAAAAGAAAAACCCAATATATTATGTTGAAATCCTAGTTCCTGTACTTGTGAATGTGACTTTATTTTGGAATAGACTCTTTGTTTTATTTTGTGTTTCTGGTTTTTTAGAATCAGAGTCTCACTATGTCGCCGAGGCTGGAATACAATGGCACACGCAGGGCCACTGCAGCCTCAACCTGCTGGGCTTAGGTGATCCTTCCACCTCAACCTTCCAAGTAGCTGGAACTACAGGCATGTACCACATGCCCAGCTAACTTCTTTGATTTATTGTAGAGGCGAGGTCTCGCCAAGTTGCCCAGGCTGGTCTTGAACCTGTGGGCTCAGGCAATCCTCTCACCTCAGCTTCCCAAAGTGCTGGGATTATAGGCATGAGCCACCATGCCCAGCCTGGAATAGACTCTTTGAAGATGTAACCAAGTCAAGATGAGGTCTTTAGGGTATACCCTACTCCAGTAAAACTGATGTCTTCATAAGAAGAGAACAGAGGGCAGGCACGGTGGCTCAAGCCGATAATCTCAGTGCCTTGGGAGGCCGAGGTGGGAGGATCACTTGAGCCCAGGAGTTTGAGACCAGCCTGGGCAACATAGCAAGACTTCATGTCTACAAAAAATAAAAATAAAAATTAGCCAGGTGTGGTGGCACATGTCTGTAGTCCTAGCTATTCAGGAGGCTGAGGTGGGAGAATCCAGCCTGGGCAACTTGGTGAGACCTTGTCTCTACAATAAATCACAAAAATTAGTAGGGCATAGTGGCGTGCATCTGTAGTTCCAGCTACGTGGAAGACTGAAGTGGAAGAATCGCCGGATCCTAAGAGGCTGAGGCTGCTGTGGCCATGAGTGTGCCTCTGTCCCCCAGCCTGGACAACAGAATGAGACTTCAACTAAAAAAAAAAAAAAGAAAGAATTAAAAAAAGAAGGTAGAGGAGAAGGAGGACAAGGAGAAAGAGAAGGAGGCGGAGGAAGCAAAGACAGAGACCTACATAGGAAGGAGAAGGCCATGGGAAGCTAGAGACAGAGACTGGAGTGATGCAACTGCAAGTCAGGGATGCCAAGGATGAAGAAAGTCAACATCAGAAGCTCGGAAGATGTGAGGAAGGATGCTACCCAGGGTCTCAGAGGAAGCAGGACCCTGCTGACACCTTGATTTCCAACTTCCGGTCTCCAGAGCTGTGAGAGAATAAAAGTCTGGGTTGTTGTGTGTTTTTCTTCTCTTTTTCTTTTTTTTTTTTGAGTTGGAGTCTCACTCGATCGCCCAGACTGGAGTACAGTGGCCGCTCCCAGCCACCACAGCCTCGACTTGCTGAGCTCCGGCAGTCCTTCCGCCTCAGCCTTCCGAGTAGCCGGAATTACAGGCATGCGCTACCACGCCCGGCTGATTTTTTGATTTATTGTGGAGATGAGGTCTCGCTGCCCAGGCGGGTCTCAAACCCGCGGGCTCAGGCAATCCACTCACCTCAGCCTCCCAAAGGCGCGGGATTACAGGCTGAGCCACCGAGCCCGGCTTCTTTTTCTTTTTTTAGATTGAAAAATATAGTTTATTTAGAAAGTAAATTAGAGAGAGAGATTGATTCATCTCCCCAAGGTAGGAGAGGGGACCAAAGCTAGGAAACATGGTGGCCATAGCTCAAAGAGCCTCGTGGACACACCAGAGTTTAACGAAGCAATGACTAGAAAGTAAATTAGAGAGGGGGAAGAGAGAGGAGAGTCACCTCCCCAAGGTAGGAGAGGGGCCCAAAGCTTAGGCAAACGGCCTGGCCATAGCTCAAAGAGCACGTGGCCAGACCATAGCTTAGCAAGGCAATGGCCTGTTGTGTTTTTTGAGTTGGAGTCTCACTCTCGCCCAGGCTGGAGTGCTGTGGCTTGATCATGGCTCACCACAGCCTCAACCTCCTGGACTCAGGTGATCCTCTGGCCTCAGCCTCCTGAGTAGCTGGTACTACAGGTGTGCACCACCACACCCCACTAATTTTCTGATTTTTTTTGTAGAGTCAAAGTTTCACTACGTTGTCCAGGCTGCTCTCAAACCCCTGGATTCAGGCACTCCTCCAGCCTCGGCCTCCCAAAGTGCTGAGATTACAACCATGAGCCACCAGGTCCAGCCTGGTCTTTTGTCTCATGGTAGTTTGTTAAGGCAGCCTCAGGACACTTAGACGGGGAGATAGCCGGGCATGGTGGCAAGTGCCTATAGTTCCAGCTACTTGGGAGGCTGAGGCAGAAGGATCACCTGAGCCCAGCAGGTCGAGGCTGCAGTGGTCGGGAGCGTGCTACTGCCCTCCAGCCTGGTTGACAGAGTGAGACTCCAATTCAAAAAAACACAAAACCCCCCAAAATACAGGGAGAGGCTGGGTGCGGTGGCTTAGCTTGTAATCTCAGCACTTTGGGAGGCTGAAGTGAGAGGATTGCCTGAGCCCAGGGTTCAAAACCAGTCTGGGCAACTTGGTGAGACCTTGTCTCTACAATAAATCACAAAAATTAGCCGGGTGTGGTGGCATGCGTCTGTAGTTCCAGCTACTTGGAAGGCTGAGGTGGAAGGATCGCCTGAGCGCAGCAGGTCGAGGCTGCAGTGGCCATGAGCGTGCCGCTGCACTCCAGCCTGGACGATAAAGTGAGACTCCGACTCAAAGAAAAAAAAAAAAGACAGGGAAGGAAGGAGGATCAAGACAAGAGACAACACCTGCTCAGACACCAGGAGGACGCGCCTGGAGAAGGTGATGACAGTCCCAACTCACCGGCCTGGTAGACCCGGCTTTGCGTTGGCATCCCTAGCTGGCCTCCTAGGGTGGGCAGGATACGAAAGGTCCAGGTCCCAGGTTTCTGAGGTGGAAGGGGCACTACGGCTGACCGCTCCCGAGGCCCCAGGATGAGCAGGGACACCCAGTCCTTGTGGTTGGTTATTCTGCCCAGGTTAGACCCCTCAGACCGTGCCTGGATCTCAAAACTGCTGATGAGTGCCCCGCGCTCCACATCCCAGGTTAGCACCGCCGCATCCCGGGCTCGCTGGAGCCTCCATGAGGAGATGGAGGGGCCTAGGAGGATGAGGGAGGGGTGGATGGGTTGCTGGGTGCCAGAGGGGGAAGGAAGGGGGGTGGGGATTCCTAGGTCCCAGGGGTAGAGGAACTGGAGACCCAGATTCCTGGGTCTGAGAGAGTGCTGGGGTCCAGGACTTTTGGGTCCTAGTAAGGAGGGAACTAAGGGCCTGGACTCTGGGATCTGAAGACTCCCACGTCTGAGGAAGGAGAAGCTGGGGGCTGGACTTCTGGCTGAGGGAGGAGGGGCTGGGGTTGGACTCCTGGGTCTGAGGGAGGAGGGATTGGGGACCTGGAGGCTGCGGTCCCCGGGACCCCCTTCGACTGAGTTCTTGGCAAGGATGAGGCTCACCAATGAGGGTGATCTGGTCACCCCCAGCTCCCAGCGCCCCACTGCACAGCACGGAGTAATTCCCCAGGTCCCAGTCCAGGCTGAAGTTTCCGATGAGGAGCTTTCTCCCATCTTTGCTGAGCCTCAGGCGACTCCCGCCTCCTGGGGCTAGGGGCCGCCCTTCCCGGGCCCAGGATGCTCGTGAGGGTGGAGGACACCCAGAGGCCTCCAGTGCCACCTCTGTCTCCCCCAACTGTGTCTCTTCCACCAGCGGATGCAGCAGCACCTCTCGGGGGGACTCTGCAGGTGGGAGAAGCCCAGGAGAGAAAGTCAAGGCCTTGCCCTGGACCCAAAGAACAAATTTTGTGTGTGCCCTTTGTTAAATCAAGTAGTGGCAAATCCCCAGGCACTTTGGAGGAGGAACTGCCCATTCACTGATGAGGATTTCAGATAATAAATAAATGAGTGAATTATTATCTGATTTCCTCATCAAACACTTATTGAACACATACCATAGGCCCAGACTTGTGCTGAGAAACTTATATTCTTCTCAACTATTCATTGCTCTTAAAAACATCACTGACTTGTCTCTCTGAACACGTGGGAAAGTGATGGCCCTCTTCCTCAGTCCAGAAAAATACCCCTGTGCATGCACACCCTAACCCCCACCCTGAGGCACAGGAAAAACCCCGTTCCTTTTCTAGGTTCAAGGAAAATGAAAGTTGCGCCCTTTTCTGGAGTAAGGCGGGGTACCCCCCTCCACAAGACGTCCCCAATGGACCGAAGAAAAAGTCCTCCTCCTCCTCCTCGGGAAACAGCAGATAAGCCCACCCCCTCTCACCCGGTGTGACAGTGCAGGTGCGTGTGGCCATCAGGTGGCGAGCGAGGCAGGTGATGGGGATGCCGCTGAGCCGGGGGTGGGCAGGGACGGTCACCAGGAGCGCAGAGGGCACCGGCCCCGCGCGGACGCCTTCGGGGAGGCCCTGGAACTGCAGGGAGGCGACAGGGACCCCGCCCGGCCATGCGCAGCGGAAGTGGAGGCTGCGGTCCCCGGGACCCCCTTCAACTGAGCACTGTGGGGACCCAGGGGGAAGATCTGTGCGCGAGGCAAGGGAGAGAACAAAGGTTGGGTCTCTCTCCCCTTCTTCTCTCGCCCCGCCTCTCTGCGCCTGGACTCCCCTATTCTCACCGAGCCCCGCCTCTCCGCGCGTTGATCCCGCCCTTCTCACCTAGCCCCGCCTCTCCGCGCGTTGACTCCGCCCTTCCCACCAAGCC